CACGAAGCCAGGCTGCCAAAGCAGAGCACGCCAAACTTAACCACTATGCCACAGGGCTGGCCCCAAGAAGTATCCACTTTTTATTTTAACATCTCGGGAAGCATAGATCCCTTTGTACTCTGCCTCCAAAATCTGTTTGCTCCCCAAACCAGAAGATATTCCCTTCATGGAGAGGAAAGAGCATCCCCTAGTGAAACAATGTTTCCCAACATTCCTTCAACACTGAAGTTCCATCTATTTTTCTTGCCGGAGAGTCTCCCGCCCCAACAGCCATGTGATTGCATTTTAGATGCTTGGGCCCAGTGCCTAGGGCCTATGAGCTTTTCAGAGGCCAATAAAATTGTTTGAGAGCTGAGAAAAATCTACTGGCTCCAAATTTTTGTTGTTGCTGTTGTTGGGAAAGATTCACCCTGAGCTAATATCTGTTGTCAATCTTCCTCTCTCTCTCTCTCTCTCTCTCTTTTTTTTTTCCCCTCCCCAAAGCCCCAGTACATGGTTGTATGTCCTAGTTCTAAGTTGTTCTAGTTCTTCTATGTGAGCCGCGGCCCCAGCATGGTTACTGACAGATGGGTGGTGTGGTTCCATGCCTGGGAACCAACCCCAGGCTTTGGAAGTGGAGCACACCAAACTTGAACCACTAGGCCATCAGGGCTGGCTTTCCAAAATTTTTTTAAGTTCCAAAACTAAAATTAGTAAATTTGATTAAATGTTTACAAAATGTGACATATCAACTAGTCACATGCAATTCAACTCTTAAATAGTTATATATAAATTACATTTAATGTGGAATGTGGGTTCATTTTAATATTTTCTATGATGAGGGACAGGGCCTCTTAAAATAAGTGTTAAAGGCCAATTTTCCATAAAGTTGACCTCTCTTAAATACTCTTCACAACCATTGACATGGTCCATCTGTTTTGACATTACTTTCTTAAAGATGTTGAAGACAATACTGTATATGTGCCAAGTGCTTGGTAAATGTTTACACTTACTCCCATTCAACTCATTTAATCTTTATAATAGTAAATTTAAAAAGACTGAATTAGGAATTTTGGATAAGGTAGTCTTTCTGTTTTTTCATTTTTTTGCCAAAGTACAAAATATTACAAATTCTGAAGCAAAAAGAAAAAGAAAAATGAGAATCAAAACAGATTAACAAGCACAGTCCAAATGAAAACAAACTACTAATTTGAAATGGCATATATAGACTTTGATGGTGGACAATACATAGCATGTGGCTCCAGAATCAGACACTCTGAAAAGGAGCTGTGACCTGGGACAAGTTACTTGGTCTCTCTATGCCTCAGTATCCTCAACTGTAAAATGGGGATAAAAGAGTATTTACCTCACCAGGTTGTTGTGATATTTAAATGAGTTCATATATATATGAAATACTTAGAATAGTGCTTGGCACACAGGAAGAGTTCAATGGATGCTAGCAATTAATTATTATTCAATGAAACCATATCAATCTTTGATTTTTAGAAATACAGTCATGTGCTACATAACTACATTTCAGTCAATGAGGAACCGCAAATACAACGGTGGTCCCATAAGATTATAATGGAGCTGAAACAGTCCTATCTCCTAGTGACCTTGTGGCCGTCGCACCGTCGTAGTGCAACTCATTACTCACGTGTCTGTGGTGAGGCTGTGTAAACAAACCTACTGTGCTGCCAGTCACATAAAGTACAGCACATACAGTCATGTACAGTACATAATGCTTGATAATGATAAACCACTATGTTACTGGCTTATGTATTTACTATACTATTTATCATTATTTTAGAGTGTACTCTTTCTGCTTACAAAAAATAAGTTTACTGTAAAACAGTATGCCGTGTTACACCGGCAGCAGCCTCATACATCTCTGTTTACCGTGTCTCTCGATTGCATCATTTTCTCCTGTGCTTGATGTAATCTCGTGTTGTTTTGTTCATTGTGGCCCCTAAGCACACAAAATCCAACTGCTAATGTTGCCAATAAGAGGCCACATGGAGTGACTGACCTGGAAACGAAGTTAAAAGTGATTAAGGACTACAAAGGTGGAAAATCAGTGATGGTTATTGCTTGCCAGTCAGGTATGTCCCATTCCACCACAGCTACAATCTCGAAGAACAAGAACAAAGTGATGGAAGCTGTTAAAGGATCTGCTTCATTAAAGGCAACAAGACCAACAAAAATTGGAGAAGGGCCTATATCAGATTTGGAGAAACTTCTAATGACCAGACACAGAAGCGTATCCCTCTCAGTGCCATGATGATCATGGCCAAAGCAAAAAGTTTGCTTGCGATGTCAAAAGAAAAGGCTGGACCCGACTATGATATTGAATTTACTGCTAGCTCTGGGTGATTTAAAGGATTCAAGAATCTTTATTGATTACATAATGTGAAAGTGAGTGGTGAGTCTGTGAGTGCTGATGTGAAGGCAGCTGAAGAATTTTGAGAAATTCTAGATAAGCTGATTGTGGAGGAAAATTACTTGCCAGAGCAAATATTCAACATGGATGAACCCTCACTATTTTGGAAATGGATGCGGGAAAGGACTTTCATCCTTAAGGAGGCCAAGTCAATGCCAGGCGTCAAGGCTTTTAAGGACAGGATAACAGTCCCGCTTGGGGGCAATGTTGCAGGTTACAAATTGAAACCCTTTGTGATCTGGCACAGGGAGAACCCCAGGGCCCTCAAGCATATCAATAGGCACACACTGCCAGTGTCTACAGGAGCAATAAGAAGTCATGGATGACCCAGCTCCTCTTCCAAGATGCCCTCCTGAATTGCTGTGCCAGCAAAATGGAGAACTAGTGTTTGGAGAATAACATACCTTCAAGATTTTGCTTATTGTTGACAATGCTACCAGACATTTTTCTTTTATTGGTGAACTTCATCCCAATATCAAAGCAGTGTTTCTCAGTTCAAACACCCCCTCTTTGATCCAGCCAATAGATCAAAAAGTTACAGCAGCTTTTAAGGCCTGCTACCTGAGGGGGACCTTTGCCAGGATATTGCTGCAACTGAGGAGACACTGATCCAATTCTGGAAGGATTGCAACATCTACGACTGCATCAAGAACCTTGCTTGGGCTAGAAGTGGTGTCACCAAGGACCGTGTGAATGGCATCTGGAAGAAGACACTCAAGAGGTTCATCCATGACTTCGGTGGATTTGCCAAGGATGAGAAGGTTGCAAAAATCATCAGGGCTGTGGTTGAGATGGCAAACAACTTTAGCTTGGGTGTGGATGAGGATGACACTGAGGAGCTCCTAGAGGTGGTTCCTGAGGAACTGACTAATGAGGAGTTGTTGGAACTGGAACAGGAACGCATAGCTGAAGAAGAGGCAAGAGAAAAGGAAACTGCAGGAGAAGAAAAAGAAGAACTCCCAAGAAAATTCACAGTGAAGGGTTTAGCAGAAGGCTTTGTAGACCTCAACAAGCACCTTAAAAAGTTTGAAAACATGGACCCTGATACCAAAAGATTTTCATTAACAGACGGGAATGTTCATGGTGCATTATCTGCTTACAAGCAAATCTATGATGGAAAAAAGAAATAAACCAAAGAAACCACCATCGACATATTTCTGAAAAGAGTGACACCTCCTCAAGAAGAGCCTCAGGCAAGTCCTTCAGAAGATAATCCAGAAGAAGGCATGGCTGTCTTAGGAGATGACAGCTCCATGCGTGTTACTGCCCCTGAAGACCTTCCAGTGGGATGAGATGTGGAGGTGGAAGACAGTGATGATCCTGACCCTGTGTAGGCCTAGGCTAATGTGTGTGTTTGCATCTTAGTTAACAAAAAAAGTTAAAAATTAAAAAAATAAATATTTAAAAATATAAAAAAGTTTATAGAATAAGGCTATAAAGTATTTTTGTACAGCTGTACAATGTGTGTTTTAAGCTAAGTGTTATTACAAGAGTCAAAAAGTCAAAAAAATTACAAAGTTTATAAAGTAAAAAAGTTACAGTAAGTTAAGGTTAATTTATTATTGAAGAAACATTTTTTAAATAAATTTAGTGTAGCCTAAGTGTGCAGTGTTTATAAAGTGCACAGCAGTGGACAGTGACGTCCTGGCCTCCACACTCACGCACTCCCCCAGGGCAGCTTCCAGTCCTGTGGGTTCCAGTCATGGTGAGTGCCCTGTACAGGTGCATTATTTTTAATCTTTTATACCATATTTTTACTGTACCTTTTCTATGCTTAGATATGTTTAGATACACAATACCATTCTGTTACAGTTGCCTACAGTATTCAGTACAGTAACATGCTGTACAGGTTTGTAGCCTAGGAGCAATAGGCTAGGCCATGTAGCCTAGGTGTGTAGTAGGCTGTACCATGTAGGTATAAGCACACTCTATGACATTCACACAATGACGAAATCACCTAACCATGCACTTCTCAGAACACATCCCCATTGTTAAGTGACACATGACTGTAGAAAAATTTAAGATTTTGGATAAATTAACTGTCACCAAAACACAACTGAAAACATCCACAAAAACAGTCACTCATCTTTTATTTTGAAACTTTTTATTTGGAAATAATTTCAAACTTTAAAAAGTTACAAAAATAAAGTAGTACAAGGAACACTCATATACCCTTTACCCAAATTTGCTTATGGTTAACATTTTATTCATTTGCTGTATCATTTGTACTGCAGATCACTGCAAATCTGTGTCCCTATCTCTTATTCATAATTTATGATGTATTTATTTTCTATTTCTAAGTAACAGATTATCACAAATTAGGAGCTTAAAACAACCCCGATTTACAAGCTCACAGTTCTACAGGTCAGAAGTCTGGACACAGCACGACTAGGTTCTCTGCTCAGGGCCTACAAGGCTGAAATGAAGGTATTAGCCAGGCTGAGCTCCTTTCTGGGGCCCCTTTCTTTGTTGTTGGCCAAATTCAGCTCCTCGCAGCTACAGGACTGAGGTCTCCTTTTCCTCGCTGGCTGTCAAATGGAGTCACTCTCAGCTCCTACAGGTCAACCACTTTCCTTGCAACATGGCTCCACCCACTTCCAAAGCCAGCAATGGAGAATCTCACTCACGGTAAGTCCTTCTCATGCTTTGAATCTCCCTCCCAAGGAAGAGCCCAGTTTCATTTAGGGGCTCACCTGATTAGCTCAGGCTCACCCAGGATAAATCTCTCTCTCTTTCTTAAAGTTGACTGATTTGGGACCTTAATTAGATCTGCAAAATCCCTTTAGAGCAGCACCTAGATTCATGTTTGAATAACTGGGAGAAGCTGTGTATGCATCAGAGGGCAGGAATTTGGGGGACCCTCTCAGAATTCTGCCTACCACATATGAGACAATTAATAAGTCAATGTATTAGTCTGCTAGGGCTGCCATGGCAAAATACCACAGACCGAACGGCTTAAACAACAGAAATCTATTTTTCTCACCATTCTGGAGGCTGGAAGTTCAAGATGGAGGCGTCAGCAGGTTGGTTCCTCCTGAGGCCACTCTCTAGGGCCTGCAGATGGCCACCTTCTCACTGTGTCCTCACAGGGCATTTTTCTCTATGCATATACATCTTTGGTGTCTCCCTCTCTCTTCTCATAAGGACACCAGTCATATTGGACTAGGGCTTCAGCACGTGAATTTGGGGGAAGAGGTGGACACAATTCAGTCCATAATAGTCTAATAACACTACTAAGAGCTACTAGGCAGGTACCGTGCTAAATATTCTCTGTAGGCTATCTCATTTAACATAATTATATATCATTATAAACCATTACATAAGATTCTGGCTTTATCAAGATGTTTCCTATTTTCTTGATTAGAAATTCTATATGATTCCTATTGTGATCTGATGGTCAGAGCCATCTCCATCCATCTCTACTATAATGTGCTCCCTGTGCTCCCTTCTGAGAACAGTTTCACTCACCAATCAAGTTGTATTGATCATCTATGAGCTTGGTACAGAGACACAAAGATAAGTCATCAAAATTCCCGCTCTCAGATAGTATTGTCTAGTAGGAAAGACATTTTATGAGTGTCTCCATGTACATTTTGAAATATCTTACAGAAAAAGTATCAATTACATTTATTGAACCATTCTGCATATTTAAGTTCTTAGGAAAGCTGAGGCACTGAAAATTACAATAATGATTTCAAGAAAGAGGAAGCTCTCTGAATATTTGGTTTTGCATTATCTTCTTGAGCTGCCTCAACCCTAACTGTGCAGCAACACACTCCTTTGAATGTAGCATTAGCCGGAATTCTCTGTGATTGGAGAAAAACCACTTGGGATTTGAAGGCGAGAAGTAATCATACCATAAAAGTACTACACCTGACTAGGTCAGGTGCCTCATATTCCACTCTCCCTGCTCAGGATTAGAAAAAAAAATTTCACTTAAAAGAAAAAAAATCCTTTATTTTCTCACTGTCCGACGCGTTCACTTTTTACGCTACTAACACGAGACCTTCTCTCCCAGGAAGCAAAGGCAGCATTGGCAGCTACTGAAGGAAATCTCCAGATCTGCAGGTCGAGGGGCTTCTCTGCTGCGGGCAGGGTGCGGTGACGGCAACCTGGTGAGGAGCCCTCCCTCCCGCCTTCTTGCACGCCCCCCCTCTGCTCCCTTCCCCCCTCCCCCTGTCCCCTCCCAGCCCCAGCCCTCCCCCTTCCTAGTGGCCCGTGGGCCTGGCGCTGAGTTCTCCATCTCCCTCCTTGGCTCATCACTTCACCTGCGCCGTCTGCAGGAGCGTGGAGGGCCGGGGCTGAGGCTCCAGGCGGGGACCCGCGGCGCGCGCCCGGCCCCGCCCGCCTCGCCCCGCGGGGCTGCGGGGCTGATAAATGGCTTCTTGGCCCCGCACGCCCGGTCGGGCTCCGCGGCAGCTCGACTCGCCGGAGTGCTTCCCCGGGCTCCGCTCCCAGCCCTGCCCGCAGTGGGACCTCTGCGCATGGAGGAGGAGGCGTACCTGGAGCTCTGCCTGGACCAGCGCGCCGCCCAGGTGAGTCGGAGAGTGCAGCCACTGTCCCCAAGTCAGGACCCGCGTCCCTGCCCTGCTGCTGAGCGCCAAGTCCTGCGCCCTAAGGGCTTTGCCTGTGTTAGCTCTTATAAAACTGCTAGCGACCTTAAGAGGTGGGCGTGATTATCCCCGTCTTTCAGTTGGAAAGTAGAAGCTTCCAGAGATGGAATAGCTTGCCCAATGTTGCCAACCGGAACTCGAACCCCTTGTAGTGTGAATCCAGGATGTGAACGGGAGGCACCTGTGGCTTCTTTCAGTTTGTGATTCTTAAGTTTTTGTTTTTTTATAATTTGAAAAATCTTTAGAGTGAAGTATTGTAGAAAAGAGAGGAAGGAGTCTTCCAGAGAAAAGCAAGAGAGCAACGTATTTGGGGGTGGGGGCAGACTTTTAAATAGACGAGGATTAGTGCCGAGGTAGTGTCAGGGAGGGGGAAACTCCCCCCTTCTACCTTCTTGTGCTCTTGTGGCTGGACTAATAATAAAATTGACACAAGACCAGATGAATAGGAGAAAAACCCAATTTAACTACATGTCCATGAGAGACTCGTGAAAATGATGCTCAGAGTGAACAGAGCAGGCAGTGGGTATATCCTTCACACAAAGAAACAAGTTCGTGAGGAATGACAGGACAATGAAACTTAGGTCTGAGGTACACAATTAGGACTTTGAGCAGAGTTTGGGCATGAGGTAGTAAATTGGCAAGATCTGTTTATACAGACTTCTCCGCCCTGAATTCCCTCCCTCAGGGGATGAGGATGCCGGGAGAGCACCTTTCACACGGGAGATTTATTTCCTGCTTTCAGGGGAAACAGACAGGACATGCCATTTCTGCTTCTCAAGTAACTTTAATTCCAAATAGTCAGCATGCTATTGTGGGATATTTTGAGGCAGCCTGGCCTGGGCCCCAGCAGTTCCCTCCTCAGAAACTTCCCTGGAAGTTTCACATATTAAAAATTGAGGCCGTAGATTGTTCCATTATTTCATTGAATTGATCAGTTCATTAATGTCAGTTCAATTAAACAGTTGTATCTCATTTTATGAGGCAGTGATGCAGGTGGGCTCCCAAAATTAGGTCTATGGTGCAACCAATCAGGTACTTAATAAGAGGCATTTCTATGGAAACAAAGAAAAGCTCAAACCATTAGGTTTGAGCAAATTGTAAACCAGTTTCTGAGCCTAGGGGACAGCCAGTCAAGAAGATGTCTAGACGTCAGGGTCAAAGCATCTTTTGCAGTTTGAAATATCTCTGATGTTATTGGGTGTTCAGGTAAACTTGCTGAGTGGCTTACTCAGCAACAGGCACAAAGGTTGTGTAAACACGGGCTGTTGTGGCCATCTCGCAAGTTTGTATCAAGTTGTTCAGCTTCAGTTTGCAGGGCTTCAGGGAACGGGCAGCTTTAGTTCTTAATGATTCCAAGTCAAAAGTGGGAGAAAAATTGGAAATGTTAGTTTGGAGAGTTGTAGCCAAATATTTGAGGAAATGAGAAGAATTGAGGATCCACTCCAGTTTTTGGGTAAATAACAAAACTTCAAAGAAAATTAACAGCACTAGAATCTAATATCTACAAGTGTGTGTTATGGTTTCTATGGAAACATACTTTTTCTCTCTAAAATCACCCTTATTGTAATCAAAAAGAGTCAAATTAAGACTAATTTGTTTGCAAAATAAGTTTAGTTTCAATAAACTTGGCTTAGTTATTTACATAAGTACAGCAAGAAGAGTGATTGATCATATAGGCTCTTTTAAATTTGCTTTGCTGGAATTTTTTGTTTTTAGCTGAGGAAGATTGGCCCTGAGCTAACATCTGTGCCCGTCTGCCTCTATTTTGTATGTGGGTTGCCACCTCAGCATTGCTGACGAGTGGTGTAGGTCCACGCTTGGGAAGCAAACCCAGGCCGCTGAAGCAGAACGCACCGAACTAAACCACTAGGCCATGGGGCCGGCCCCTGGAACTTTTCGTAAGGAATTTCCAGATTGAATCTCTAATAGCCTCTTGAGGCTGAGAAGCCAAGCCAACTATTCCACCTGCAATACCTGTACATTTGGGTGAATTCCTCTTTTCCTGAGGCTGCCAACATATCTTGAGGTTCTTTTTTTTTTTTTTTTTTTGTGAGGAAGATCAGCCCTGAGCTAACATCCGTGCTAATCCTCCTCTTTTTGCTGAGGAAGACCGGCTCTGAGCTAACATCTATTGCCAATCCTCCTCCTTTTTGTTTTTCCCCAAAGCCCCAGTAGATAGTTGTACATCATAGTTGCACATCCTTCTAGTTGCTGTATGTGGGAAGCGGCCTCAGCATGGCCGGAGAAGCGGTGGTCGGTGCACACCCAGGATCCGAACCCGGGCCGCCAGTAGCGGAGCGTGCACACTTAACTGCTAAGCCACGGGGCCGACCCATATCTTGAGGTTCTTACACCTGATTAGGCTGTCAGGAACCCTGGAAGTAAGGTACCAGGCTGCGGTTTTGTTTCCCCCGCAAGGGGCTTTGTTAGCTTCATGAAGGCAACCTTGATTCCTTAAAGCTGTTTGGTCATATCTGGTTTACACATGCCTCTTTCAAGCGTGACATCCCAGTCAAAGCCTTGGTAATGTAACCAATGTTTCCAATTGTGTGCTGTTATAAGGAGAACAGATTATTATTGAACTTATGCAAATAAATATATTGTTATGAAAATAAGAATGCTCACTGAGAGTTTCTGAATTCTGGAGGGATCAGGTAGGTAGAAAAAGTAATTGTTTCAATTCTGCTTACAAAGGTATAATTCACCAAATTGCTGTAAGTCATAGATAGCTTAAGAGAAAACAAAATTTTCTTATAGGTGACATTCTGGCTGGGGAATATAAATATTGAACGACTAACTTTACAACTAATGCATTAATAATAATCATGAGAATGTTCTGCAGAGAAGCACATGGTGCTATGAAAGAGTATAACAGGGGTGGGCCCCGTGGCTTAGCAGTTAAGTGCTCGCGCTCCGCTACTGGTGGCCTGGGTTCGGATTCCAGACGCGCACTGGCGGCCTGCTTATCTGGCCATGCTGAGGCGGTGTCCCACATACAGCAACTAGCAGGATGTGCAACTGTGACATACAACTATCTACTGGAGCTTTGGGGGGAAAAAAAAGGAGGATTGGCAATAGGTGTTAGCTCAGGGCCAGTCTTCCTCAGCAAAAAGAGGAGGATTGGCATGGATGTTAGCTCAGGGCTGATCTTCCTCACACACACACCAAAAAAGTATAACAGTGTGGGGGAGCTAACCTAGTGTGGGGTGGGGAGGTCAAGGAGGGCTTCCCTGAGGAAGTGACATCTGAGCTGAGATATGAAGAATGAGGAAGAGTTAGCCACTTTGGGAGAGGGAGAGAGGAGAAGGGGCTGTTGAGAAAGAGCATCTGGAAAAACAAAAGACTTAAAAAAAAATAATAATATTTCAGACAAAAAGTCACAAATTATAATCATCCTCATCAGTGCATTTAGTCCAATGTAATTCTTGTTCTGCTTGAATCCAGTTTTTCCATTAGTTCTCTCAACTTTGCCTGATGATTGAGGGTGATATGAACAGTGATAATTCCAAGTAGTTTGCGAGGTTTTTGTTAAGGCTAGTATGATTTGCCCAGTGAAGTGGGTGTCTCGATCACTGGAGATTGTGGAAGGTACACCCTGAGTGGGAAACACATTTTCTAAGTTTTCTTTGCAACTGTGAGGTTATCAGCTTTGTGACAAGAGAAGGCTTCAAACCAACCAGAAAACATACATACAACAACAAGAACGTACTGACAACCCATACTAAGTGGCATTGAATGAAGCCCAGCTGCAGATGCTCAAAAGACCTGGCGGAGGAGTTCTGAGGCCTCTGGGGACAGAAATAGTTGTTCCTATAGTGGGAGAAGGAATGTAAAAACTGAAAAATGGGGTTTTCCAGGAATCTGGAAAGAACCAAGTGGCCATCTTGGGTTTCCCATAGTCCTGACTATCTAATTTATAGCTATTGTTTACCCATCTTAATTTCTCTGATTCAGCAGACTGTTGCCATGTTACAAGGACAGCAGGGTGGCAAAAGTCTGGCAATGAGGGGTCAATTTTTTTGCAGAAGCTGAATGGACTTCATCCACATGTGTCATAACCTTTATAGATTCTGTTTTTGCTGCCTTTGCATGAAAGTCAGCTAAGGTGCCTTTTTTGGTTTTTTTGAGGAAGATTGGCCCTGCCCTAACATCTGTTGCCAATCTTCCTCTTTTTCTTTTTTCTCCCCAAAGCCTCAGTACATAGTTGTGTATCACAGTTGTAGAGTTGTAGCTCTTCTATATGGGACGCCGCCTCAGCATGGCCTGATGAGCCACGAGTAGGTCCACGCCCAGGGTCTGAACCCGTGAACCCCGAGCCAGCAAAGTGGAACACTCGAACTTAACCACTACACCACTGGGCCAGCCCCCTACGGTGCTTTTCTGATATTTAGATCAGTCCTTTTAGTTAAGCCTTAATTTTGATGACACACAACATTTTATACCAGGACATAGTAGACTACTAGGAATCTGGAACTCTTATAAAATATACAGATACAACATAAAGAAGGCTTAATGTTATTTCTTATTTGACAATGCTGCCCATGTAATTTAACATCATACAAGCCTAATTAGTTTGATATCCCTCTGTTTATAAGGAGATGTTATAAATGTTATATACATAGATGTTATATACAAATCTTTTGAGATGTTTCAGGGATCCTCTGAAAAATCCCAAAGTTAGCTGGAGGTCAAAAAAACTTCATTTAGAATCTGATTTTGGGAAGTTAGTCAAGAAATATCACAGAGGTTTTAAAACACTTGCCTAAATAGGATCACAGATTATTATGAAATTTAATATTTAATTATTTAACCAAAATGACAAAAAGATTTCAAAGACAAACATAGGTTACATTGCTGCACAACCTTAGCTCTTTTTAATAGAAAAGACTCAGCTTTTAACATAAAGCACAGGAAACAGTTCT